GGATCTTAGGAAAAAGTTCATTCTCATAATGGGTAAGACTCACTTGCTGTTCATTTTATCTTAAACTACTGAAAATTTCTGCTGATCCAAGAATGGGCGGAAGGGGCAGTGGGATTTAGGGTGGGTGGAGATGCAGGCCATAATAGCAAAGTGATCAACCCTCTACTTCCCATTCTGGGTCCTTTGTATTCAGGCAGCTATTTTTGCTGAAGAAGGAAGAAAAGTCTGCATGAAGGTTGTTGACTGAAAACTTGAGTGGAAAGCAGTGGGATGTAATGTGGGTTTCAGCTTCATGACTGAGTCTAGGCAAGCTTCAGTGTGGAGCCAAGCAGAGTGACGATAAGACTGATCTCTTGGGGCTGGGAAGTTGGCTCAGTGGTAGAGTGCTTGCCTTGCATGCATGAGGCCCTGGGTTCAATTTCTCAGTACTACATAAGCAGAAAAAAGCCAGAAGTGGCTATGTGGCTCAAGTGGTAGAGCACTCACCTTGAGCTGAAGAGCTGAGGGACAGCGCCCAGGCCCAGAGTTCAGCCCCCATGACCGACAAAGAAAAAAGACTGATCTCTTTCTACGACCACTGAGATAGAGCCCTGGGCAGGAGGCAAGGTTCTCCATTGAGACCTTGAAGAAGGAATATATTCCCAAGCACCCCTTTCTCTACTCTAGGTTAAAGAATTACCCACCCTCAAGGACATGGACTTCCTCAACAAGAATCAGAAAGTGTATATTGGTGAAGAGGAAAAGAAAGTATTTCTGGAGAAGCTAAAGCGAGATGTGGAGGTGATGACTGCAATGCTTGGAAATGCCTTGTTTTGTTTTATTTATTTTGCCTTTTCTGATTATCTCTCCATTCACAATTGGAAGGAGCTCCATCCCCTTATTCTTTAGGTCTTCTGTATGGGGTAGGGGGAGGGGCGGGCGGGTTGAGTATGAGACAGGAAAAACCTCTGGTGGTGACTCCTAAGAGGCTGAAATGAGTGCAGAGTAAACTTAGACCCCAGGGCATTGCAGTATTACAGGGCAGAGTATATCACAACACCTCATTTTTTATACTTTCTTTCTTTTCTGGAGGGACCAGAAATTCAAGGGTAGACATAAGGGGTGGTACCTGAGAGTAGGGAGGGAGAGCTGGGGTGTATGATTTTGTCAATGGTTCTCAGTTTCTAGTACAGCTGAAGATAATGGACTACAGCCTTCTGCTAGGCATCCACGACATCATCCGGGGCTCTGAGCCAGAAGAGGAAGGGCTTCCACGGGAGGATGACTCAGAATGGGATGGGGATTGTAACCTGGCTGGACCTCCTTCTCTGGTGGGTTCCTATGGCACCTCTCCTGAGGGTATCGGAGGCTACATCCATTCCCACAGACCACTGGGCCCTGGAGAGTTTGAGTCTTTCATAGATGTCTACGCCATCCGGAGTGCAGAGGGTAAGAGAGCTTGGATATTCCAAAGATGAAGGGGAAAATGCCTTTAGGGGTCAGAAACTAGGTGGTGGGTGGAGAGACTGCTTAGCTTTTCCAAACAAAACTCACTGGTTCCTGGGGAAGAGGAATTGGGACTATACCTGCTCTTCATGCTTGGTTTCACTCCCCAGGAGCCCCCCAAAAGGAAGTGTATTTCATGGGCCTCATTGACATCCTGACACAATATGATGCCAAGAAGAAAGCAGCTCATGCAGCTAAAACTGTCAAGCATGGGGTGAGAATTCCCCAAGGCTTATCCTGTCCTGTCTCTGCTATTCCCTGGGAAGAGAGAGCCCCTGTGTCAGAGCAATGGGGTGGCAGAAGGAGAGAAATGGGCAAAATGGATAGCAGGGTAGGGAATAGGAAGGGTACTGGAGTGCCTGACCTTGTTCTGTACTTCCTTTCACAGGCAGGAGCAGAGATTTCTACTGTCCATCCTGAGCAGTATGCTAAGCGATTCCTGGATTTTATTACCAACATCTTTGCCTAAGAGCCCACCTAACCGTGATGATTGCTACTTTATGGTCAAGGTGGCAGGGTTCTGAGAGGCTTGGGGGAACTGTGGGTATTATGGCCGTTACTACTACTTTTTCTCCTCTGCTAAATTCAGGCTGCAGGCTCCTTCCATACAGATAACTCCATCTTGTTGAATAGGCTCTTCCTGGCTCTCAGAAATATTGTCCTTTCTCTCCCTTTTTACTTTTCTGCCTCTCTCCCTCTCCCCACCATGCCCTCTTGCTTCATTAGAGTTTTACTACTAACTCTCTCCCAAGTGCCTTGATCTTTGTAAAATCTCCTATTTCTATAAAATAGGAGGAGCTGGGGGCAGGGGTTTGTTTGCTATCTTCAGGACTCCCAGAGGACTGGACAATGGACCAGCTCAAGCAACTGTTCTGGATGCTTTGCTGTGTGGGATGAACTAAGAGTATTGGAATGTTGCTGGTGACTTTCTAAAACTCACTGAGTCATGCCTCCCTCCTGGTAGGCTCTAGGATGGAGGACTTTGAGGTTACTAAGATGTGGGTGCAGGCATGCACACAAATTGGACCATTCAACATATATATAGGTAGGGTAGAGAGTGGTCAGCAGGCTGACACGTCAGAGGAGGGACCTGAGACTACTGTGACGATGCAGGGAATTGGAAATGGTCTGTGTCAAGGATCAACTGACTACTCTCCCATCTTGTCTCCCATCCCACTTCCACCTAGCTGCGCTTCTGGCACAGGAGTCCAGAGAGAGCCAGAAGTGTTCGAGCCTGGGTAAAGGTGCCCGACTACTATGCTTCCCAGACCCTAGTACCCTTGCTGGGGCTGGAACCTTTCAGTGGGGACATGGACAGTTTTGGATGGTGGAATGAAGGTTCATTCCCCATGTTAAATTTCTTCTTCCTGTCTAGCCATCCCCAAGATTATTTCTGGCAGAAGGGACTATCCCTACCTGAGTCAGTTCTGGTAATTTCAAGAGAACAGAGGTCTAGAGTGGGAACCTCATCATCACCTGGGTGTGCCCACCCAGCACACTTCTTTCCCAAACCCTTTTCCCCTGAACTGTTATCATGCTGTTCTCTTCTGTCCCATCCTCTGCTGTTACTGTGTCTCCCAGGGGACAGATGGCCTTCTTTGTCATCTTCACTCTCCACCCCCAGAGAGGAATCAGAGCCATAACTCAAATCACCCGGCCCCCCTCCAAAGATAGCTGAGTTGATGCATGATCTTCTCAGTTGCAGAGGACTCTTGAGATGAAATAGATTGTCCTCTTCTCCTTCCCAATGCCTTTAGGGCTTAAGATACCCATTTTTACTCCCCTCCCCCCATTCCTCTGATGCTTCCACGCTTTTTTCCCCATAAAGCTGGCCAGTGGAGATGCAGTGCTGCTTTGTTTTCTATCTGGTCAGACTCTCTGGTCTCACAAGACTTCATGAGGGCCGTAGGAAGATGCTCTCTCTTCATCTCTGCTCCAAAGGAAGTAGGAAGAGGGATCCTGATCAGTTGGAGCCCCTGCAATATCTTCCTGTCAGGGGCCTGCTGGATCTTTTCTATTCCCATCATCTCCCTTCTCCCCCCTCCCCACCCCATTGTTGAATGCAATAAAGCTCTGTGACACCAGCAGCCATTTCTCTAGAACCGGGTTCTCTGACCATGAGGCTAATATATCATGGGCAGTATTGTCAACTTCATTTATTGTTTCTGTTTTATTAATAAAAGAAGATCCTGTGTATTTGCCCCCATTTATCACAATACAAAAAATAAATTATTCAGTTTCCTTCACATAAATGCCTTTTTTTTTTTCTCCTTACATACTTTTCTGGGGAATCCTGTGTTTAAGAGAGGCCAACAGGAATTCTGGTCTTCAGAGTGCTGGGCCCCTAACTTAGGATGTAGATGTCTTAAGATGGTTGTGGATTTAAATAGTAGTGAGGAGTAGACATATTAACAGAAAGCATTAAGCCAGGTGTAGGTCGTACATGCCTATAAATCCAGCACTCAGCAGCAGCAGGATTGGCAATTAAATGGCATCTTGGGTTACAAAGTTGTGACCCTATCTCCAAACAAAAAATGGTTTGATTTTGTGTGAATTCAGTAGTGGTGGGGGCAGGTAGTAGGATGATGCACTCACCTCCCCCCAGGGCTGTGGGCGCCTCAGCCCACCAGCTAAGTGAGAAGGAAGTGTTTCCCCAGGCTTCCTGGGAAAGCTGTCCTCTGTTGGAGGACAGGAAGAGTACAGCAGGGTCCTGGGAAAATGAAGTGTGCAGCCCTCCAGTGCAGAAGGGGAGTGGAAGGGGGTGGTTGCCTAGAGGTTGTGGCCAGTCTGGGAGATTTGATGTGCCTTGGCTGAGGTCTTCTTGGCTGGAAAAACCTGGTTTCATGTGGCCCTGGGGAAGTGAGTTGGACTGGGGGCGGAGACTGCTCTGATGTGGGAAGCAGAGCAGAGCAGCAGCTTTTTTTTTTTCCCCCTTTGAGAATTTTTAACTCTATTTGAACCATACCCTTGACACCACCACCCCCGAAATAAAACATTTTAAAAGGATCTGTTTATTTCTGCACCAGCCTCAATGTCCTTATTTGTGAAAAGAGGGGGGAAAAAAAAGTCAATGGCACTTGGCAGTACCTATCTGCTAACAGGCTTTGGGGGGTTACAGAAAGTAACAAGGTAGAAAGAGGCAAGAGATGAGGGAGGGGATGGAAATCGTTTAGTAGTGGGATTTTTCTGAATAGTTCCAGTGCCTTTCTTTTTACTATGATTTTTACCATCCCACCTTGTTCCTCAAAAGTCTTCACAGCATAAGGATTTCAAATAATTGCGCTCCCCTCCAGATCACCATATGCCCACCGACACTGCGCCCACCCACTCACCCACCCATCCACACCACTCCCAAGAGCTGGCTGGGAGAGAAAAGGGAGAGGGCTCCTCCAGGCGGGGGTGGGGGGTGGCGTCTCGAGAGGGATTTAACCTCCTACCCTCGGTTTGCATGACGCCACCCCCTCCCTCCAAAAGGCTGGGACTGCGCCTCCATTTTTGTTTTGGGGCGGAAGGGCAGGGGCTCCCGGGTAGAAGGGGAGGGGTCAAAGGAGAAACGGGGGAGCTGTCTTCCCTCCTTCCCTTTCCCTCACTCTGCACCCCCTACGCCCCTTTCTCCCTTCTTGGGGTCTCCCCCCCCCTCCCTGTTGCTAAGGCCCGGACCGTCATCCCAGCAACAGCCTCAGTCATGTGACCGGCAATGGCGGCGCTGACGAGAGGTAGGTGAGCCCGGCGCCCCCCACACCCACCGCATGCCCCCGGGGCCCCGCTCGCACCCCTCGCAAGCCCCCCGCGCCCCCTGCGCCCCATCCTCTGCCTCCATCCCCCGCGCGCCGCGCCAGAGCCCCCCTAGGGGCCGGGCCAATCATCTCTCTAGCATCCCAGCCTTGGCCTCGGTTTAGGGGTTCTGTGGGCCGCAATCGGGGCCCGACATGCATCCCCATCAAGTGGTGGGACTCCGGGGGGCTTCCGCCAGTGGGGGATACGGGGAGTTGGTTCCGGGTCGGGTCTTGGAAGAGGTCGTGGGGGGAGGGGGAGCTGCCTCAGTGCACGCCCTCCCCCCTCCAGGGACCCTTGCCCTTCCTGGCCGTCCCTGCCTCGGGCTGCTGGCGGGAGGGAGGGAGGGACTGGCCCTGTGTCCGGCCCCAGGTTGCCCCAAAGGAATCGCAGACCCAGCCTAAACTGTGGCCCCGCCTCCCTATGCTGTGCCAGCAGGACTTGGATCCAGGGTCTCCTCTGATGGGGAGGGTCTGTACCACCACGCACAGACAGTACGAATGGAGACTAGGGTTCCTTCTGGCTTTGGGGGAGGGCACTCTGATACGGGCACAAACCGAGAGCTTCTTTTTTGGATCAGTCAACAAATTGAGGTCACACTAATGGCCTCTCTTTCTAATTGAGCTGCACCTGGAGGTGGTGTGGGGACAGCCCTGTAGTTGAATTGTGACAGGACCCTGGGGAAACCTCAGCCCCCTCTATCTGAGCCTCTGCTTGAGCCCCGCCCCTTCGGTGCTGGGTTTAAAAGATGTCAAGGAGAACTTTGTTATTGTCAGGGCCACTTTGTTGGCATCCCTAACTGACTTCATCAGCACCCACCGTTGTTAGATCTCAAGGAGAACTCCCCCTCAGCTACAGGGACCAAATGGTTTGAGAATGTGGCAAGGACATGGGAAGTCTGAAGAAATGTTCCTGTCCATGTGAGCTGAGGGAGGAGGCAAGAATGACCTCCATCTGTGTGGGCTTTTTTTCCCTCCCTGTCCTCTCTTATCTGTGCTCTGGACTCTTTTTGAAAAAGCCTCTGCGTTGGAGAAGAAAAGAGAAAGTTAGAGAGACAAGTTCCTTTAGCAACTTGAAGAAAGAGGACTGGGAGTGGAACTCTGCAGGAGAGGAGAGAAATGGAAGAGAAGTTGTTTCTGGGCTAGGTTAGGGAAATGACAACATCTGTCATCATAACTCTTTGGTCTCCCGTTTTCCCACAGTTCTGGTCAGCTGAGTGTGGAAATAGAGGGATTTCTGCTGCCATTATCTTCCATGGGATTTCCAGGTAACTGTACCCCAAGAGCATCTCAGCCCTTACATTGGTTTCCTCCAGTGCTTCAAGAAATCTCCTCCCCAGTAACCTATACCCAAGTTCCTGTCTGTTCCATGGGCTCTTGGGTTGGGATCTGTGGAGCTTTGGGAAGGGGGTTCTCACTTTCCCTCCATTTTCTTCCCATACCACCAGGTCACACAACCTACAAGTAGGGAGCCCAGAAAGAGAGAGCAACCCTGCATGCCAATTCTAAGCTCTTCAGGATCAAAGTGAGCACAAAGGAGGGTGGAAAGGCTTCCTCCTCTTTTAAAGAGCCCATTTTTCACCCAGAGTGGGGGAGGGACAGGTGATTGTTTCTGTGACGATAAGAGAACTGATGCTTGGCTTACAGTAATGAAGTATAAAAATGTTTTGCTTCTTAGGGGATGTTGGGGTTATGGGAGATAAGGGGAGATCGAAAATGAGTATGCAAGTCAGGTGCCACTAGCTCATACCTATAATCCTAGCTACATGGCAGGCTCAGATCTGGAGGATTCTGATTTGAGGCCAGCCTAGGCAGAAAAGTTCACTAGACATTTATCTCCAAACTAACCAACCAGCGTGGCTGGAGTTGCGATTTAATTTGTAGAGTACCAGCCTAACAAGTGTGAAGCTCTGAGTTCAAACCTCACTACTGAAGGGAAACGTTTGCGAGAGGGGCTGGGGTTGGGTTTTGAGAGAATAGGAGTAATAAAAGGTGTGGAAAGAACTTGAAGTAGGAGGCACTTATATATGTATCAAACGGGGACCCCCCACCCTGAGTCCCTTTCACCCTGGGGGCAGTGTCGTTCGTCCTGTCCAGAATGGCAGCCTGTGGAGGCACCTGCAAGAACAAAGTGACTGTCTCCAAGCCTGTCTGGGACTTCCTGAGCAAGGAGACCCCAGCCCGGCTGGCTCGGCTACGGGAGGAGCACCGAGTGTCCATCCTCATAGATGGCGAGACGTCTGACATCTATGTTCTCCAGCTTTCCCCACAGGGCCCTCCCCCAGCCCCTCCCAATGGGCTCTACCTGGCCCGGAAGGCTCTCAAGGGGCTGCTGAAAGAGGCAGAGAAAGAGCTGAAGAAAGCTCAGAGGCAGGGGGAGCTCATGGGCTGCCTGGCTTTGGGGGGTGGTGGGGAGCACCCAGAGCTGCATCGCCCAGGCCCACCCCCTCTTCGAGCAGCCCCACTATTGCCTCCAGGGGCACGGGGGCTCCCCCCTCCTCCTCCTCCCCTGCCCCCTCCTCTTCCTCCCCGCCTCCGGGAGGAGGCAGAAGAGCAGGAGAGCACCTGCCCCATCTGTCTCGGGGAGATCCAGAATGCCAAGACATTGGAGAAGTGCCGGCACTCCTTCTGTGAGGGCTGCATCACCCGGGCCCTGCAGGTGAAAAAGGCCTGCCCCATGTGTGGCCGCTTCTATGGGCAGCTGGTGGGCAACCAGCCCCAGAATGGGCGGATGCTGGTTTCCAAGGACGCCACCCTCCTACTGCCCAGCTATGAGAAGTACGGCACCATTGTCATCCAGTATGTCTTCCCGCCCGGTGTCCAGGGGGTAAGAGGACCATGATCTGCCCTTACCCTTTGCTTTTTCCCAGGCTTGTGGAAAAATGGGTGGGAGGGAGGGCATTTTTTTAGGTATGGTATAATCACCCAGTATGCCTTCCTGCTCAGTGCTCTGAGTAGGAGCTCAGATGTCTAAGGAAAGTCCCCTGAAGCCCAGCTTTCCCAACACCATGATTGTGAGCACACACAAAAATCAGGTGTGAGGACTGAGGTGTAGCTTTGCGGTAGAACATGAACCTAGCCTGGTATGAAGGAAGCCCTGAATTTAAGAGGTGACATTGATCAAGATGCATTTTACTTACAACCTGAATTCTGGAATTGAAACTACTTAATAAAAATAAAAAATATTGGGGCTAGGAAGGTGGCTCAGTGGTAGAGCACTTGCCTTGCATGCATGAGGCCCTGGGTTCGATTCCTCAGCACCACATAAGCAAAAAAAGAAAAAAGCCAGAAGTGGCGCTGTGGCTTAAGTGGTAGAGCGCTAGCCTTGAGCTGAAGAGCTGAGGGACAGCACCCAGGCCCAGAGTTCAGGCCCCATGACCATACCCCCCCCAAAAAAATATATATATATATATTACTTTCTGCTGACCTAGCCGGGTGCTGGTGGCTCACGCCTGTAATCCTAGCTACTTAAGGAGGCTGAGATCTGAGGGCTGAGGTTCAAAGCTAGCCCGGGCAGGAAAATCTGTGAGACGCTTATACCAATAAACCACCAGAAAACCAGATGTGGCACTGTGGCTCAAATGGAAGAGTGCTAGCCTTGAGTTGAATTGCTCAGGGACAGTGCCCAGGCCCAAAGGGGTGGGAGGCGGGGGGGGGGGGGAGAGATTTCTGTTGACCTAATGTACAAAGCCAATAGCCTGTTATTTCTTTTTAACCAACCAACAAAATAAATGTGAAAGAAAAAAAATTCAGGCACTAATAGCTTACACCTATAATCTTAGCTACTCAGAAAGTTGAGATCTTAGGATATCGGTTCCAAGCTAACCCAGACAGAAAAATCCCTAAGACTCTTATCCCTAATTAGCTATCAGAAAAGCCAAAAATGGAGCTGTGGCTCAAGTGGTAGAGCCCTAGCCTTGATTGAAAAGCTAAAGAACAGTGACCAGGCCATGAGGTCAAACTACTACCAGTATATACACACACATATATAAACACAAATAAAAATACTAAGGTATTAGAGAAAGGAGTTGCAGAAATATCCCTGACAAATGTGGATGTTGGCAAGTATCTTGGCAGAGCAGAGGTAAGAGCTGTAGAGATGGGAGGAGAGGAGGTTGTGGTGGGAGGTGGGGGGGGAAGCTGTGGGGAGGCTGGTTCAGGTGCAGGCAGGCACAACAGGAAGGGATCCAACCATCCTAATAGAGCTGGGAGTGTTACTCTGTTCCAGACTAAGGAGCTTGATGAGTATGGAAAGTAACAGAAGTGATCAAGGGCCTACGAGTATTTTCCTTCTGGACAAAGAGTAATGAACAGTTCAGTTTCGGAGAGAGATGAGACAGCTCTGAAGAAGGAAACAGGTTAGATGGTGGCAAAAGCATTAGGAGTATGTTTCAGGTGGAGGAGGGAAGATTGAGAGATAAATTATTCTCAGTCCACATTTTCTGCTGAGTTATCTGGAGAGTAAGAGACCAGCTACCCTCTATCACTCCTGAGAGTCCATTTGTTGCTGAATTGAGACTTGAGGGACTGTAAAGGCCAAAAGAACCTCTTAACAATAAGGATTATGTCCTTAGTAATAAACATGCTCTTCCCTAGAAGGCTGTCAGCCTGGTGCCCTGTCAGCATCAGCAGGGGATGCACAGACCTGAGGCTGGCCAAGATGACCTTCCATCGGTATGCAGGCTTTAGGAAGTCCAGCTGCTCACTACCTCTTCTGCTTCTTCCTCTCAGGCTGAACATCCAAACCCAGGAGTTCGGTATCCTGGAACCACACGGGTGGCCTACCTCCCGGACTGCCCTGAGGGCAACAAGGTGCTGACCCTGTTCCGAAAGGCGTTTGACCAGCGTCTCACCTTCACTATTGGCACGTCCATGACCACAGGGAGACCGAATGTCATCACCTGGAACGACATCCACCACAAGACCAGCTGCACAGGGGGACCCCAGCTGTGCGATTCCTCTTCATTTCCCTCCCCTCCCATTAATCCCCTCCCTCGGGGAGCTTGATACCTGGAGAGGACCACTACCAAACTGCTCAACCATCTCTTCCATCTATCTCAGTTTCTCCTACTTTCAACTAGTTCTGATGTGCCCAGCTTAACCTGCAAAAAAAAAAAAAAATGCAGAATTGGGTTGTGCTCTCCAATATGGAAGTCACTCCTGATCTGGGAGAAGGGTCTGAATACAGCCTCTACTGAGGGATCCTGAATGAGGGTGGGCACGGGGTAATATAAACAAGCCCAAACAGTTAACCCTGATCCTCATTTCTCTTTGCTCTCAGGTTTGGGTACCCGGACCCCACCTACCTGACCCGGGTGCAAGAGGAACTGAGAGCCAAGGGTATCACAGATGACTGAAGGACATCCCCCTTTGCCAAGGTCCTTGCCGTCCTTCTCTAGTAGGACCCAATGGAAGCCTCTGTTCTCCTCTCTCCCCCTGCCCCCCACATCACCCCAGTAGGGGACCTGTCTGACTGGGGAGTGAGATCACAGGGGAAGAGGGCAGTCCCTTCCCACGTCCCTATTGGCCAAGTGCTTCGGTGCCCTGTGAGCCATTCCCTTCTGGCAGAGGCTGGTCTCCCGTGTACATACTCCCAGTTCCCCTGCCCCGCCATTGCTCTTGGCTTCTCCTGGTATGTGCTGTGCTCCAGTGACTAAGCTGAGAAAGGACCTGGGGGAGGGGGGGGCGGGTCGAGTCACTTGAACCCCAGCCCCCCACTATACTGCTCCACTTTGGACTGATGTGAGCCCCGTCCCCCCACGGAGCCAGCTGAGTGTCCATAAGAAAACAGTTCTCCTACCTTAATCTTGTCCTTTCTCTCCTGTGTCTCTGTCTCTGTCAAGTCTGTCTTTATCTCGCTCTTCTCTGCCCCCTATAAGGAGCCTCCTTACCCTGTTCTGGAATCGACGCCAGACTGTAGCTTTTAATTTAATAAAAATAAAGTAAAATATGCAACTCTTTATGCCACACCCATTTTGTTGCTTGGGCAGGACGGGGGGGGGGTGGCCAGCAAGACCTGCTGAGAAGGAGAAGGGGTGCAGGGGAAATTCCCGCAGCACCCCCTCTCAATCCTGAGGCCTGAGGCCCCTAGAGACGGGATGGAAGGAGTATGTCCCGTCCTATCCACGCGAAGCCCAGGGCCACGCTCCCACGTGGGAATCGGGATCAAGAGGGGTTGGTTTGTTGTTGAACTGTGTAGAGAAAGGAACAACCCTACCCCTCTTGCGAAGTTTGGCTGGGGTGGGAGTGGGGGCGGAGCCGGGCAGGGGGCGGATTCGACGGCAGCAACTCCCCGGACGCACGCAGGCCTCAGAGCCCCCCAGCTTCCGTGCCCCCTCCGCCCTGAGACTTGAAGCAGGGTAGGGGTCCAGCATGAAGCCCCCGGACCGCCCCGCCCCTGGCCGCACTGACCGGATACTGGGGGTCATGGGGGGCATGCTGCGCGCATGCGTCGTACCCGGGCAGGCCGGGGTAAGAAGTGGGGGGGGACGCGATGGGGTCGGGGAAAGGGGGTCACTAGGGGACCTCAGGAGGGCTGTACCCCACAAGTCAATTGACTTGCAAACCGAGGTTCTACGGGGCAGGCAGTCGCAGGGATCTATGAGTTTAATGACCAGAGCCACAGCCACGTTCTGGGAGACCCCCCCCCCCTCAGCAGAGTAGATTTTTTGACAGGAGGGAGAAGGGGGGGAGGGAGGGAGGGTTTCTGACAGTCATTCTGTCCCCGCAGCCCCCAAAGAGAAGTTCCCTGGGGCCGGGGTGTACCGAGCCTGAGAGCCACAGTCCCGAGGGGGAGCAGAGAGGGGAGCGCGAACCCGAGGTCCTCGCCTGGGCTCCGCAGCCCGGTAAGAAGCTGGAGTTGGGTGGGGCCCAGCGGGCAATTTCACAAATATTCTTCTCTTATTAGCATAAAAGGTAGCATTTAATTTGCATGGGGCCCTCCCCGCTTCCCCTGGCCTTCCATTCCGCCGTGGCCCCCTCCCCTCCATTTCACAGGGCCCGCAGGCGGAGTGTCCTCGCGCCCCACCCCTGGCCCCCGGCCAGCGCAGGCTCCGGGACTTCGCCTTAATTGGTGATTAGTCTTAGCTGGAGTCCCGGGGCCTAGAGGAAAGAAGGGTCCAGGAGAAGGCGGCACCTGGGTTGTGCTTCCCACCAAGAGTTTCCCCCCTACACGCCCCCACCCCCCACGACGGGGATCGGATTCCCCCTCGCGCCGCCGGGGACAGCTCCGAGACACCTTCACGCAGGCCCAAGCTCATCCAGCCCTCCTCAGAGGTTGAGGGACGACCCAGGCCGACCCAGCGCTCGCTCGGCAGGCAGTCGGAGCGGAGATGCGGAAGGAGGGGGACCCCGGGGAGGGGGAGCACGGCCCAGTCTGGAGGGATGGAGGCGCCGGGGACGTGGAGTGGGAACTAGGTGGCGCTTCGGGGAGGGGCATCGGGGCGGGAACCCGGCCCGGGCTGGAGTGGGAACGCGCGGGGGAGGCGGGGCCGGGCCGCAGAGGCCCCGCCCCGCGGCGGCTCCGCGCTGGGGCCTGTTATTCCGCTCGCCGCCCGGCCGGGACCCGCGCAGCGCCAGTGGCTCGGGGAGTCGCCCCCCCACCCCCCGCCTCCTCGTCTCCCAGGCCTAGAGCCACCCGCACACTGAGGCCGGAGCCCGAGCCCGAGCGGTTGCCGCATCCTGGCCCTGCCTCTCCCACCATCCCTCCCCCTGGCTGGACATCTGGACCCTGGGCCCCCGCACCGACAGGGTTCCGGAAACCCTCCCCGCCCAGTTTCGGGCCTGGCCCCGCACCACCTTCTCTCCAGATCCCCCCCAGCCCTCCTCTAGACCAGACTCGCGACTACTCCTGGACCCCCTTTCCTCATCTCCTCCCTCCCCCCCTCCTCCAGCCTGGACCGGGGTAGGAGGGAGGGGGGGTGTGCGCCCTGCGCCGTCCCCGCCCCGCCCCCCTTGATTCCTCCTGCATGGCCCGCCCGGGTGGGGGAGGCGGGGGGCCCCGGGCGCCATGCGGGGGGGACACAAAGGGGGTCGCTGTGCCTGTCCCCGTGTGATTCGAAAAGTGCTGGCAAAATGCGGCTGCTGCTTCGCCCGGGGGGGACGTGGTGAGTGTGAGGTCGCGGAGAGGGGGGAGGGCACAGTGTTGGGGAGGGGGTGTCGGGCAGAGCCTTCAGGACATCTCTTTTCCCCCCGAACCTGACATTTGGGATGTAGGGCTGGAACCTGTTATGTGTGTTTTCCAGGAAAGATGATCTCTAAGATCCCTCTTGCTTCCAGATTTCTATTAGGTCAAATTGAGGCAACTGGGGAAGGGGACAGAGGCCTCTTACGTCTTTCTTAGCGTCAACTAGGTATGAGAAAAACTCACGAGCCTCTTGGGCCTACAACCCCCTATATTCCCTCAAGTCATTTTGATGAGAATCTACTTCTGAAGAGGACTGGGGAATGGAGGAATGAGGAATCCTTCCATGCAGTCCCTCTCAGCTGATGGCCAAAGATGATCCTGCTGAGGTCTCCTCACTGGGTCTCCGCTGGCTGTGCATTTGTGTTGGGGAGGCGGGCTGCTGAGGTCCTTTCTTTTTATAGTGATTACTGCAATTAGAGGAGGAGGAGGGGTCTGAAAGTGGCAGATGGACTCTTAGCTTTTGCTTTTTTGTTTTCTTCTTCCCCACACCCTTTCTCTGCAAATGGTCTGTACCCATTGGAAAGGGGGAGGCTGTTCAAGAGCAGATGGCTGCCCCCAGCTTCCAGTATCTGCCAGATGGCTGCCCCAACCCCCGTATCTATGCTATGCTCAGGATATGGGGAACCTCCACATGTAATTGGGGGTGCCAGGCCTAGGGAGCCAGGTGTTTACTGTCCTTCTTCCCCAGGATGCCCTGGTGAAAATTTCTATCCTTGTCAAGTCAAATGAGGATGGCAAAAGTGTAAGCCCTGGGGGAGAGAAGCTGAAAAGTATGGCAAGGATACCCTGGGAGTTCCCAGAAGACCGTGAGTCAAGTGGGGACAATACCTACCACCTTCCTTTCCCCCTCCATTAGAATCCTATTCCATTGCCGGTAGTGAGGGGAGTATATCAGCTTCTGCTGCCTCCGGTCCGGCTGCCCTTTCTGGACCCAGCTCTGGCCTCAGCTCTCGGCCCTGTTCACCAGGCCCTCCAGGGCCTGTTGGCTTGCGAAGATGGTTGGATCACTCCAAACATTGTCTCAGTGTGGAAACTGAGGCAGATGGTGGTCAAGCAGGACCATATGAGGTAAGCAGGGAGTGCCACGGAAGCATGTAGGACGTCCATGAAGGGCCCTGGGAGAGAGGGCAACGTGGAGCCACTGATTATTGGGGGATACAGCTGGTGTTCATGATCTTTGACCCTTGGCCTGTAACCTCAGAACTGGATGCTGGAGCCAGCTCTAACCACAGGAGAGGAGCTGCCAGAACTAGCCTTGTTGACTACATTGTTGGAGGGCCCTGGAGCTAAGCCACAGGTAGGAAGAAATGGGTTTGAGGAGGTTCCTCTTCCCCAAAAGCCATTATTTGCCTAGCCGAGGATATTCTTTCCTTCTAGCCACCTGAAGATGAGACTTTGTCCCAAGCTCCTGAGAGTGCGGAGGAACTGAGGAAGAAAGCCCTGGAAAGAAGCATGTAAGTGTCCATCCACACCTTCCCAAACAAGTTGCAGACCTGCCAAAAGACTGCCCCTCATATCTGAGAAGGAATGACCCCAGTAGATGGCTATCGTGATGAAGAGGTGTCGTACAGGAGGGTGAACCAGCCCAGCCTCTGAAGTGGGTACCCTCCTGCTCTCTTCCTAGGTATGTGCTGAGTGAACTGGTAGAAACAGAGAAAATGTACGTGGACGACTTGGGGCAGATTGTGGAGGTAGCGCCTTTTCCCCCTTCTCTGCCCTGGCCCAAGTGCCCTTTCCCTCTGCCTGGAGGTGATTTCAGGAAGTGCCTTGGCGCTCCTATGTCCCATTCTCCCAGGTATCCTACTTCTGGACTTCCAGGGTTGGGAACCCCACCCCAACCACCACTGAGGCTACCTGCTCACTTTCCTACCCTAACCTTCCCCACAGGGTTACATGGCCACCATGGCTGCTCAGGGAGTCCCTGAGAGTCTTCGAGGCCGTGACAGGATTGTGTTTGGGAATATCCAGCAGATCTATGAGTGGCATCGAGAGTGAGTGATGGAGCCCGCAGAGCCATGTGCTGGGGAGGGCAATCACCTGGTCTCTGTGTCTCCTCAACGGGCCCACTGATACCCAAGGAATACTTGGGGAAGCTTTGTGGGGAGAACAACTAAGGCGCATGACTCAAAATCGGGGATGTGTGAGGGAGGTTAGGGGTCCAAAAAGCATTTAATCTTCCTTTTCCTGCCAACCTTTCCAGCTATTTCCTGCAAGAGCTCCAGCGGTGTTTGGAGGATCCTGATTGGTTGGCTCAGCTATTCATCAAACACGTGAGGCTTGAGAGGGTAGAACCTAAGAGGAAGAGGCTTGGGAATGTGTTCAGACTCTCAGGATTTGTGCCCTCTGTCCTAGTCCATTCTACTCTCTCTTCAATGTTGCCCCTGTTAGGAGCGCCGGCTGCATATGTACGTGGTGTATTGTCAGAACAAGCCCAAGTCAGAGCATGTGGTGTCAGAGTTTGGAGACAGCTACTTTGAGGTCAGTAGCTGAAGTCCCTCAGGGGCAAGAAGGACTGAATTAGCACGACAGGCTTTCCAGGCCCCATACCCACCCTATGCCTGTCCCTAGGAACTCAGGCAGCAGCTGGGGCATCGCCTGCAGCTCAATGACCTCCTCATCAAACCTGTGCAGCGGATCATGAAATACCAGCTGCTGCTCAAGGTCAGGACCATCTTCTCCCTGGAGGCACAGCTGGCAGGGACATCTGTTTCCCCAGTCATCTCCCCGGGGTTCTTAAGACTCCTCAGACTTCCAGGGAATTCTCACCTGTGTCCTTGGGGGAGGATGTGAGCGCTTCAGAGCCTGTGTTCATTACCTCCCTGAGCCTTTCTTCTCTGTTTTAGGATTTTCTAAAGTATTACAGTAGAGCTGGGATGGATACTGAAGAACTAGAGGTGAGGACCCCAAAATCCTTCAGGAGCACACTGTGTACAATTCCCTTAGTTCTGTGGATTCCTTAGCCCCTTGGGTGGAAAGCTGGTTGGGGCTGGGGATGTGTATAAAGAGGCAGCTGACTGAGGAGGTTCTCCCAAGCAATGACTATTTTCACCTGCAACCGGTGTCTCCTCTTTACCTGCATCCCAGCAAGCTGTGGAGGTCATGTGCTTTGTGCCCAAGCGCTGCAATGATATGATGTCCCTAGGGAGACTTCGAGGATTTGAGGTATGAAGATGGGGGGAGAAAGCCAGCCTTCCAGTGCTCTTGTGCCCAGTCTCTGTGCTCTGGTGGTCCTTATAAGTGGATTACCTTCTGGGGCTGACACCCTGGTTGTTGGGAGTGTGAAGGGAGGAAAGGGTAGAGGAAGGGAGGAACAGAAAGTGGTTCTTTGTCTCTCCTTGTGCTTTCTCAAAGGCCATATCTTTTGGTTCTAGGGCAAACTGACTGCTCAGGGGAAACTCTTGGGCCAAGACACATTCTGGGTCACAGAGCCTGAGGCTGGGGGACTGCTCGCTTCCCGAGGTCGAGAAAGGCGTGTCTTCCTCTTTGAGCAAATCATTATCTTCAGTGAGGCCTTGGGAGGAGGAACACGAGGTGGTACACAGCCTGGATACGTGTACAAGAGCAGTATCAAGGTGGGCAGGGGGCATGGGGGAAGGTGGCGATTGGCAGGGTGAGGCCTCCAAGGAGATGTTTGGCTCTTGGGAGTTATTGGAGGACCTTAAAGCATGGGGAGACTATCTCCTATTTGCCAATTCAGGTGAGCTGCCTTGGACTGGAAGGGAATCTCCAAGGTGACCCTTGCCGCTTTGCACTGACCTCCAGAGGGCCAGAAGGTGGGATCCAGCGCTATGTCCTACAGGCTTCAGACCCTGCAGTCAGTCAAGCCTGGATCAAGCAAGTGGCTCAGATCCTGGAAAGCCAGCGGGACTTCCTCAATGGTGAAGCTCTCATCCAACTTCCTTTACACCCTCCCTTCAGCCCTTTGGCCTCCTGGATCCCTTCTCACTCAATTGCCAAATCCTGCCCTTCTTCTATCCAGCTTCTCTACATCCCCACTTGTGTACTAGTAGCTTAAGATTTGGCAACTCATGATCCCCAAGCACTTTATACTGGCTGATTTGGGAAGGAGAAAGAAATGCGAGGATAGCTCAAGTAGAACTCCCAGGGTGGGGGACCTGTCTCTGCTGTAACGTCATTCTGTTCCTCTCTCTTATCCAGCATTGCAGTCACCCATTGAATACCAGAGACGAGAGAGCCAGACCAACAGCCTGGGGAGACCAGGAGTTCCTGGGGTGGGGAGCCCTGGGAGAATGAGGCCTGGAGACCGGGCCCAGGTCAGCATGCACACACCCATCAATGGCTCTCTCCCCTCCCTGCTGCTGTTACCCAAAGGGGAGGTGGCCAGAGCCCCCCTGCCCCTGGACACACAGGTATGAGGAATATAATTTTCTGGTTGTATGAGTAGAATTAGAAGGGTCTCTCTTGTTACCAGACTCCCACATCCTCTTTCCCCATATCATACCTTTTTCTTCTGTATCACTTCCTGCTTCTCCCCTCAGGTTTAATTCTGGGACAAGAGCACGTGTCTTGGCTAGAGGCTTCAACTCAAAAGGGAGAATTGATGGTAGATTGCTCATCTTTGTGGATCCTTTGACTTGAATCTTTTTTTTTCAGGCTCTCAATGACACCCCCAAGGCTCCTCAACAGTCTCTTCCAGCCCTTCCACCTCCAAACAGCCCTCCCTGCCAGGCCAGACTTGCCAAGCTGGATGAAGATGAGCTGTAACTGGTGAAGGCCACGGGGGTGGTACTGACTCAGCCACCTATTCCCCAAGGAACTTGAGGTTAACCTTATGGGCAACACTCCAGAATTCCTCCCTCTTGCTCTGCTCAGAGGGCGGGCAAGGCTGGAAGAGATGTCAACTTGGGGGAGAATATCTACCCCCCAAAAGACTTCGTTCAGCCCAAGGAACATAGGATCCTTCAGCCCCACCCCTATGCATGCATCACAGTCCCCTCAAAAGGAGGATGTGTGGGTGGTTGGGAGGGAGGGATAGGGCCGGGGCCAGCTAGAAATTATTTGTTTTGGTTTTGATTTTGTGTTTTCTGTTTTCTGAGAATAAAAGTTTTGTTATATCACCAGGTGGTTGTCTTGGCAGAGGGATGGAGAAGTTGCAGTGGGGTAGGAGAGGTGAAGCAGTATGGAACAGATCAGTGGGCCTAGGCATTGGAGGAAAGAAGGGCACAGGATAAAAGATATCACTGTCTTGAACTGGCTTGAACTCTGAGCCTAAGTGCTGCCCCTCAGCTCTTCAGCTTAAGGCCAGAGTTCTACCACTTGAATCACAGCGCCACATCCGGTTTTCTGGAGGTTTATTGGAGATAAGAGTCTCAGGGACTTTCCTGCCCTGGCTGGCTTTGAATGGCGATCCTCAGATCTCAGCCTCCTGAGTAGTTAGGATTATAGGCGTGAGCCAAGGGTGCCCGGCTTTTCTTTTTTGTTATGTTCCATTACTGTGGGATTGAACTCAGGGCCTGGGCACTGTCCTTTAGCTTTTTCCACTCAAAGCTCCATTTCCAGCTTTTTGCTGGTTAGTCTTATAGACTTTACTGCCCCAGTTAGCTTTGAACCATGATCCTCAGATCTCAGCCTCCTAACTAGGATTGTAGGCATGACCCAGCAGATGTTATCTTTGTCCCTCACCTATAGCATCTCTCACTCCCCAGTTGGTGCCCAACTGGAATCCCCAGTTGGAACAACTGGAAATCTAGATCCTCGATGTCTTCTTCCAGTCCTTCTTTCCCTCATACTCACCCTTTAATTTAGACCCCACCAGAAAGCTTGGTGTCCTTTCACCATCTCCCTGCCCCACCCCCAACACTCAGATACTAAAGTATGAAATACCAAAGTGTACCTTTCCTTCCGGGGCCTCCATGTTCAGCAGAGGGAGGGTGAGAAGGTAGAGGGGAGCCTGGGTCTCCTTTGCTGGCTGGAGGTCATAAGGCATGTCTGAACAGCAGGCTAGGAAGGCTAGGACGCTTCAAACCCAGTCCTAATCGTGGAGAAAGGATCTTCACCCCTCCCAACTTCTGGCACAGCCCCTGGAACAGGGAGAGGTAAACATGTAAAGATCCAGATGCCCCTTTCTGAGTCCTTGTGTATCCATAGGTCCATGGTGTCTATTCCTCCCCTGGGCTCAGTCACGTGTGCTGGGGCTTCCTTAGCAGACAATGGGCTGCTGGGGTGGGAGGATAAGGAGATGCTGGAGCCTCCCTGGGGCCCCCAGGTCCCTCTGGCCGACAATGAGGGGAGGGTTCTGCATGGAAGGGACAGGACGTGGGTGCAGATAAGATTTCTGGGGAACAATAAGAGGAATTGAAGAGGAGAGACCCACCCTCTCTGTACCCCACCCCTTGGGGCTTTGGGTCAGGGATTGGGGGGCCAGAGGGTGATGGGGAGAGGTGCTAGAGATTATTGTGAATGGAGGTGGGGGGTGGTGGCAGCAAATAGCAGGATTCAGAAGCTTTCTATTTCTTTAGGGACCACAGGGGTATGTGAGGTGGGTGGGTGACCCTTTTGTATTTATTTTAACCATGCATTCCTACTTTAAGAATAGCACTTGAACATAATAAATGGCATTTCAGGGCTTAAAAAAATTTTTTTAGTTCTAAGAAGTAAAAATCAAAATTTCCTGTCAGTTCAGTATTTTCCCTGCAGTGGTGTGGGTGGTGGTTCTCTGTTGTTGTCCTTGATCAATATATTTGGCTGCTTTCCATCTCAAGAAGCCAGTAAAGCCCCTCACATGTTCCTGGGGCCTTGGCTCTGACATAGGGGTCCCAACCTGCACTGAACTTTGTGCTCCTGCTGAAGGACGCAGTGACTCAGGGTGGGACCGGTGACCCAGCAGGACCTGGTCTGTGTCTGCTCAAAGTGCAGATGGGGATAGGAACCAGCCCAAAAAGCTGGGCATCGAACGATGGAGTGGCAAATGCTAGATGTTGCAGATTGTTTTGGGGGTCTATGTCTCTGGCCTCAGCCAACTTTATTGCAGGCCTAGGGCACTTGCTGGAGCAGTTGGATCTGGCTCAGAATGTCTGAGGAAACACCTAATATAGGGATTCTCTCCACCCAAGCCTGACCCAAGAAGGTCCCCAAGAGAGGACGCCCTGCAGCGCAGGATTGGACACTGCTTCCTAGAGGCGGGACTCAGGGCTAGTTCACAGAGGGGTATTTAAGACCAGGAGGAGCTGGAGAGGGTGGAGGACAAAATGAGTGGGCTTCTGGGCACCAGGGCCTCCTCTGGTCCTGGAGAGGCCTCCCACCTTAAGTCCCCCTTAGACAACAGGACTAGGCAACCTCTCACCGAGACTCAGTTCCAGCAGCTCTTCGGGGATGCTGAGCAGGAGCCTGAGCTGCCTGCGGAACCCTGTTTGCCCAGGCTGTGCAGGCTCTGGAGGTGGCCAGCCAGCACTTGCTCCTGGCTGGGGGCGTGGCGCCTGCTGCAGGCTCGGCTGCCCCCACTGCGCTGGCTACCTCAGTACCGCTGGCGGGCCTGGATGCTGGGGGATGCGGTGGCTGGAGTGACCGTGGGAGTTGTGCATGTGCCCCAGGGTAAGAGCCCTCCCCCCTCCCCACTCCAGCCAGTTTCCTATATGAGAGGGGTATTCTAAACTCTAGAGGGCTTTGGGGTAGGAGGGGTGGTGGAGGTGTGGGGAGCTGAGAACCCAGAGTAAGGGTTTAGAGAAAGGCATTTGTAGCCAAATTTGAGGAGGGGAGAAGATTGTGGAACCCCATCAGATCCCCACCTCCTTTCCTCCTCATCTGCTCAATCCTGTGAGACACCTCTTGGATGGTTCCAGTTCAAGGAACTAAAGAGTCTCCCCCAGGAAGCAGGCGCAAGGATCTGTGACCTTGTCAGCATCAAGACCTCCCAGTGTGGCCTATTAACCCCTGAGTTCCCTCATGGGGTATAACTCACCACCTCTGGTGCCAGCCTGAGTGTGGGACGGAATGGGGCTAGGGGATTATCCCCTCAATCCTGTATCCTCTACCACACAGACCTGTCTTTCCACCCCTCACCTCCCAGGCATGGCTTTCGCCCTTCTGGCCTCGGTGCCACCCGTTTTTGGACTCTATACTTCATTCTTTCCAGTCCTCATCTACAGCTTACTGGGCACTGGGAGACACCTGTCTACAGGTAAGTAGCCAGGGACTGCCCATGATACTTTTCCTTTGTAGGATGAGAATGGACAACATTGTGAGGTCTTCTGGTACCACCTTCCCTCTCCTCCCTGCCACCGTGCCCAGGAAACTCTAGGCATGCTGGAGCAGGTGTAAATAGGTGGTAGTTTACTTGGACCTTCCCTGATCCCAGTGAAATTTAGTTTAGAAAATGAGCAAATTCAGGACTGGAAGGGACTTAAGAGGTGGGGGGAGTCCTTATAGGCAGGAGCCATACGTTCTATAGAAGGGGTGATTTCTGCCCCTCCTCTCCCCATGGATTCACTGTCCTCTCTTCCCTCTCTGTTTATGCTACAAGTAGCTCATGGTCCTATGGCCTAAGAGATGGGTCTGACAGCTGCACCCCAGGAGTCTGGGCTATTCCCCTACCCCCCCCCCCACAGCTGCACAGCTACTGATGGATGCATTTGTCATCTAACTCCAGGAACGTTTGCAGTACTCAGCCTCATGACAGGCTCTGCAGTGGAGCGCCTGGTGCCTGAACCTCTGGCAGGGAACTTTAGTGAAAGCGAGAGGGAACAATTGGATGCACAGCGAGTTGGGGTGGCAGCGGCTGTGGCCTTTGGGAGTGGGGTGCTGATGGTAAGAGGGAGCCCTGGAGTTTGGAACCACACTTGGGGACCAGGGAAACTGGGCTGGGGTGGGGACAAGCCTCCCACTCAGTCCCCGGAGGCTGAGATGACCAGAGGCAAGCTGGTGTACTATACTCTAGCTGGGCTGCTCTGCTATTGATGACTATGCATCCCCCTGTAGCTGGGGATGTTTGTGCTGCAGCTGGGCATCCTGTCCATCTTCTTATCTGAGCCTGTGGTCAAGGCGCTGACCAGTGGCGCTGCGCTGCACGTGCTGGTGTCTCAGTTGCCAAGTCTTTTGGGATTATCTCTCCCCCGCCAGATTGGCTGCTTCTCTCTCTTCAAGGTGAGGGATGGGAGAAAAATGGAGAAGGGGCTTCCAGAAAGAGGGAAAGTCAAAGGGGAGGAGGGAAGGAAGTTGAGGAGGGATGGGATGGAAGAGGATAGAGGTGGAGGAGGCTAGAGGTGGAGGAGGATAGGGGTGGAGGAGGATGGGGGTGAAGGAATGTGGAAATGGAGGAGGGTGGAGGTGGAGGATGTAGTATGATACAGGCCGGTGGAGGACAGAGGTTATAGACCCAGGGCTGGTGGAGGCAGAAGGCCTGGTTGGCAGCTGGAGAGAGCTTTGCCTAGTCTGATGGATGGGTGCCGAGGTGGGAAGGGGGCAGTCAGCCCTGACAAGGGCCCTGTGCTCACGGCGCCTGCTTGCAGACGCTGGCCGCAGTGCTCACAGCACTACCCCAGAGCAGTCCGGCTGAACTGACCATCTCGGCACTTAGCTTGGCGCTACTTGTGCCAGTCAAGGAATTGAACGTGAGATTCCGGGACAGGTTACCCGCTCCGATCCCAGGGGAAGTTGTCATGGTGAGGACCACCAACATTCTAGCTCCCTGCCCTGCCCAGACCCTGCCCAATCCCTTGCCCATCCTGTGAGATCTGACCGCTGCTGCCCCCTTGTGGACTGCACAGGTGTTACAGGCTGGAGGGCCTGTTCATACACCAGCTTGCCAGACCTCCTTCCCAAGCACTTGGCCCTACTAGAATCCCCCAGCTGCACCTTCCCCCTTGTCTCACCAAGACCCCTCTAGATCGCTCTGAAAGCCATCCTCCACCCTACAGCGCCACCCTGAGGTCTTGCTCACCATAGCACCTCCTTTCTTCCCTGTAATTCAGTGTTTCCTTCATTTCCAGTCCCCACCTAGATTGCTCTCTTCCAAACTAAATAAAAATAGTCCACGTCTCCACAGGCACCCCATATGCACATCGATATAATCCAATTTCCCTACCTAGAATGGTTCCATTTACACCTTTGGTATCCACCACACCTACAGGAAGTAGAGCCTTTTACTTCCTCTATACTGACTCTGTCCTTGTCTCACTGATCTCCATGGTCCCAGGCATACCTTATGACTCTTTTCTTTCCTTCACTCTAAAAGACTTGTCACACGCCCCTCTTTTTTTTATTGTAAAGATACTATACAGAGGGTTACAGTTACATGAGTGAGGTAATGAGTACACTTCCTCTTGAACATTGTTAGCCCCTCCA